ACATCCCATAATTCGTCACTAAGATACATGTGAGGGCACTCTAAGAAGGCTACTAAACAAAACAAAACAAAACCAAACAGAAAAAAGCTTAACTTTCAAGGTCACCACAATAATTATGTATAATAAAGTTACTCCTGCGGACCACACGTCTATCTTAGGGCCTTTGTGCAACAATCTAAAGCAACCTGCAAAAACCATATCGGCCAAAAACATCCCCATATATTTAATTAGATTTCCCATCCTTAAAGTTCTAAAGAGTACCTCAGGAGTACATTTCTTAGTCTCAAGATTCATGATTTATATGATCTTGGATGCTTTTGATTCCTAAGCAAGGACAAAAATCTACCTGCCTCAGGCCAACCATTAGAGCACATGGCGTTAGGGTCAGAAACAGATAAACAAACCCTTCAACTTTCCATGTAAGAGGAGCAGCACGTTTTTTGAAAGTCATAGGAGCTTGAGAGCAGCAACACATTTGACAAAGGAGCCTAATGTCAGATGAAGATCTTCTTAGTATAAAAAAAACATAAGAACCTAAGCGAAACTACGCGAAACTAAGCAAAGACTATTCATATGAACCAAAGCGTTCAACTTACCATCATGGCCTGCTTGAACTAAAAATTCCCAAAGAAATTCTACAGATAGCTACAATACACAGTGGAGAGAAACTGAGAAATAAACAGAAAATCTACTGATGAACAGAAGCGAAAAGGTGTAAAGGTAAATAAACCAGCTGCCACATTGGATTTAGGCAGAAGAGCATCTCTTTTGGAGACGTATCCCCACTTCAGTTGACAATTCTTCATATATGCACATCTCTGGTTTTATCTATATAACACCTACGAGAATGATTTTAGTAAAAGTATGTATATAAACACCAAAATTTAAATTGTCAAAGAAAAATACCTTCCTGAACAGTCTTGGCGTGAAATGATAAGCTTCTTCTCCAACAACATCAATTGCAACAACCAGCTGGAAAAATACAATCTTGGGGAGGGAGGTGAAGGGAGAAACCCATTGAATGAGATGAACTGAAGGACTGAAGAAAGAAATTGATTAGCACAGAAGTGGGAGGATCTGGAGATTAATGGAGAAAACGGTATAGAAGAGATCAGAGGAGAGGAAGTCAAAAGGAGATGGAGGGTCTAGAAACTCATCTGATTATGCTGACAAAACACAAATCACTATTTCGTAAAGCGATTACCGTCAGAAACAAAACCAACAGTTGAGAAAACCAAACCATGATCGATTTGTTTTTGAACCATAATCAGTGCCAAACGGAATCTGGAGCTTTGAAAGAATATTACTGGTTGATTAAAAGTGCCTATGTGGACACTCTAATATGGCTAGAATAAGCCCTTTTAATAATAGTAGATTAGTCAAAACATCCAAAACTGAAAAGATTAAAGGACTGTGTTACTTTGTTTGGTTTTAGTCTTTAAAGAGAAAATTACCCCTTAGAAAACATCTATATGTGGTTTGGTTCATCTTAATTTTCAAATTATCAATGGTTACACTACACTTAAATTATGTTGGCTAAATTACGTGAACCACTGTTAATCATTAGAAAATGTCCTACAAATAATTTTGTTATAAAATAAAGTTCAACAAATTAAAAATGATTTACAAATACTAATTAATAAAACAATAAAATTAAAAAAAACATTATAAATTGAAAATCTAATATAAACTGAAACAGACATATATTATAAAACTTGATTTGTTGTTAAATAATTTCATAAATTATTGTTTGTGACATTATTAAAATTATTTGTATATTGCCTTAAAATACTTCTATGATTCTATCAAATTATATTATATTTTCAATTGATTTAACTTGGTGGTCGTTTAATTTATTATCTTGATAAAATTAGTTATTGTGATAGTATTGAAACTATACTCACAGAAATAAAAATTAGTTGTTCATATTTCCCTCAACTATATTAAAGTGAAATACAAATAAAAAGAAAAAATATAAATCATTACAGTTATTAACTTTTAATTTCCTAATTTTGTGTTCTCTAACAAAAAAATGTGAGTGGTCCTTTCAACTCAAACCAATAAAATTTACAATTTTATTTTTAAATTAGTTATTTCATAGTTACAATTTAAAGTCATTTTCCCAAAATCTTATAAAATAAAAATATTATTTGACCAACAAAATTAAAATATTTTAAATAATATTAATATAAAGTAACCCGCCCGTATGGCGGACCAACCACTAGGAATTAACTTGTTTTCTAAAATATCATATTATTAATATAAATTAGTTTTAATTATATAATCAATCCTAAAAAAATTAAAGAAATAATGATAAATGATCAAAATTGCCTAGAATCATTGAGAAGTTGACAAATTTTTTGATGATTTATATCTAATTATCAATAATATAATTTTTATATCTTAAGTTTAAGTTTTATAATAGGAAAATATATTTTCAACATAACAATGTAATACATAAGAATTATCTTATTTTAGGAAATATAAAATTATTAATATAAATTCGTTTTAGTTATATAATAAATATAATAATTTTTATATCTTAATTTAAAAATTAAGTTTTATATTAAAATATAGTTCAAGATAACAACATAATTCACAAGAGTTATCTTATTTTCTAATACATGATATATTCATATAAATTTGTTTTATTTATTTATAAATAAAATATATATATATATTAAAAATATGATAAATTGAAAAAATTACCGAAATTTATGGACAACATGAAAACTAAGCAAATTTAAGTTGAAAAATCAACAAATTCTCTTTTGAAATAATTGTTTTGATGATTTATATCTAATTATCAATAATATAATTTTGATATCTTAAGTTTAAGTTTTATCATAGGAAAATATATTTTCAACATAACAATATAATACATAAGAATTATCTTATTTTAGAAAAATATAAAAATTGTTAATCTAAATTCGTTTTAGCTATATAATAAATATAATAGTTTTTATATGTTAATTTAAAATTTAAGTTTTATTTATAAAAATATAGTTCAAGATAACAACATAATTCACAAGAATTATCTTCTTTCCTAAAAATATGGTATACTCATATAAATTCGTTTTATTTATAAATAAATTATATAAAAATATTAAAAATATGATAAATAAACAAATTACCTAAAATTATGGGCAACATGATAACTAAACAAATTTACTTATTAAATAATAGTATAGATCATAAGCAATCAGGAGTGGAGAGTGCATCTTTACCTTACATATTTAACATCGTTAGGGCTTTTAAGCTCAATACAAAATTTGATTTATGTAATTCTTTTTCTTTTTGGATTTATTACGTTTCCTAGTCTCATTAGGATTCGTGGTAACTTAATTGCGGAGGTATGGTATATATTTCTCTCGTTACAAACAGCCTCTAGTGTTTTATGGATCTACATACTACATACAATCAGATACCGTAACAAAATCGAGAGGTGGACGAGCGTCCTCAGCTACGTACCAACGGTTACGTAAATATTTTCACAAGGGTTGAATCAAATGAAAGGGACTAGAGTGAACGTTGCAGCCGTGGAAACCAGCATGCATGGTGCGTATTGTCAATAATAAGGTCTATTTGTTTTAATTATATACGCCCTCAAGTTAAGATTTTCATGGATACGGAGTTGAGTAAATGTATCATAACCTACTATGCCAATAGCTTCTTCAAAAAGGAGGTAGCTCCTTAATTTTCATGCATAGACATTTTGATAATATATATATATATATATATATATATATATACATTTATGTGTATATTGATTAATCCATTTTTTTAAAAAAATAACTTATATATATTTTACTTTAAGAATTTTCAAGTTCTATTGTCACATCTGTAAGCCTCATGATGGTAAAATTTTGAAGATGGAAAGAAATAGTTACATTATAATAGATGAGAAATAAAATAAAATACTTAATATTAATCAAGTATGAATTTTCTTCATCCCACTAATGATAAAATTAGTGTATTTGTTTATACAGGCTTTTTATGTGCTGCAAATTGCAATGGACTCATTTGTAATTTTAGTCGCTGATAATCTATCGATTTTCAAATTCTCCTAATTTGAGTTTCACAGCAAGAAGAAGGCCTTTTAGGTTTTTAATCCTCTTCGAATAAATGTTGTGGGCTTTATTTTAGAGAAGAGCCCAATAGAGGGAGAGACCCACACCACACCGATAATGATTTAATGAATTAAACATTTAATTTAGAGAAATCCACATCAGCTAGTATTTTCCAATTTCGAATCCATTTAAATTCAGATATTCGGCGGCATTCGTCGATCAATCACCTGCTTTCTCTTTCGCTCGCTCTTTCATGGTTGAAGGACGATGACATCTCACCAAGGTCGCCGTAAACTGAAGATTCTTGAACTTATCTGAGGCAAGCTGTTTTCTCCGTTCGTACTCTTCACCGTCCAATCTTCTTCTTCTTCTTCGCAGGTCATCATCATCCTTCGTATCTTTTCTTTCTCCTTAACATTTCCGCTCTCGTAAGATCGTAACTAACTTTTCGATTCTTAATCTTGCAGATAACACTAACCGCAAGCTAGATATTCTTCATCCCGAAGATATTCAGATCTTGTGCGTGGTTTGTCTCTTCTCTTTCCACGATCGATCTCTTTTCGATTCTTAAGCACTAGTTAATCTATTGTTACTAGAGTTAAACATTGTGGAACTATGCTGATCTGGAGATTAACCTCGATTTCGCTTTCTCTTGATTTCAAGTATAATGTTTGTGAGGCACTTCTCCTGTGAGATTTTTTTCATTGTTCTTTTCATCTTGCAGATAATAGTAATTGTAAGCAAGGTATTCTTCACCTGGAAGATATTCAGATCTTGTCACAGTTTCAGTCCAGCGTTCACAGTGCGTGGCTTGTCTCTCTCTCACAATCTCTTTTGATTGTTAAGCATTAGTTACTCTGTTAGTTATACATTTTGGAAACTAAGAACTATACTAATCTGGATTCTGGAAGTTAGATTTGCTTTCTCTTGATGTCAAATAAACTAATGTGCGATAGAATCATGCCTTGTAAGTCTAGAGTAATGTTGTTTGACGAACTAAAGCTAAGGTTTCTACAATAGGTTATGCGTTTCTGATGAAATAGTTTCATTTGGAAGCTCGCATGCGTTGGATACCAGAGTAATGATAAAGTGGTGTGTTTATGCAGGGATACGGAGGTTTTGGATTATCTGCCCACATTACTGATCACTGCAACTTGGTCCTCAAATTCCCTGCAGGCACTAACAGCACTTGGGTATGTTTACACTTGTCTGCTTTTTTTTTGAGATTTCATTGCTTTTTCAAGTTTCCACACTCGTTTCGTATCTGTCAATCACAGTACAGTAAACAGTTGAAGGTTTTTGAGCCACTTGAGTTCAAGTATACTGTTTGTGAGACACTTCTCCTGTGAGATTTCATTGTTTTTTTAAATATTTTCATCTTGCAGATAGTAGTAATCGTAAGCTAGATATTCTTCATCCGGAAGATAGTCACATCTTGTCAGAGTTTCAGTCCAGCGTTCAACAGTGCGTGGTTTGTCTCTTCTATTTCCACCATCACTACTTAATCTATTGTTATTAGAAGTTGCAAATTGTGGAAGCTAAGAACTATATTGATCTGGAAGCTAACCTTGATGAGTGTTTAGATTTGCGTTCTCTTGATGTCAAATAAGCTAATGTGCGACAGAATCATGTTTTATATGTCGAGAACAACTTTATTTGATGAGCTAAATCTAAGGTGCTATATTTTTTTCTTTTTCTGAAGGATATGATTTGGCCTTCTCTTTTAAGAGATCTTCCCAACTATGTTTTGAATCCTCTGAGAAAGAATGGATTGTGCAGAGCCAGGCGACATCATTTGTCTCTTTTGTTGACTCCCGAGCAACTTGAAGAAGCCTCTAGCACCAGTCCGATAGGTTCCTACAAACTCAGTTACGATGGAATTGCTGTTGTTCTTTTGGTCTGGTTAACAGCACACCCAACTGTCAGTGATCATCTCAAGCTAGCGTCATGGAAAAAAGCTGGAGGCAGGGTTAGAAACCAGTTACGACACCTACTCTGCTGGGCGTATACATCTACTGATTTAGTAAGCGCCATAAGGGTTATCCGGAAGCTTGACAAAAAATACATCCCTTTGTGTCCCTGGTTTCTCTGTGACTCTGTAAACCCTGAGTTGCTTGACACCGATCCTGATGCTAAAAAGGGGCACGTATGCTATGGTAGCATGACAGAGGAGGCACTTCGTTACATTGAAAAAGATGGCGTACCAAGGGAAATCCGTGATCACCGTGTCTTTGATTGCAGGAAATATGCCCCCAGTGCTAAAAACAAGAAGTATAGTATCGACTCTGTCCGCACATTTGCAAATCTAGCTGAGGCATTAGACCATCTCCACATTCAGCCAGTTGGGGCCAGTTTACTAACTTGTCGTCATCTCTGGCGTAAGTCCATGAAAGGCAACATTTACTATGGACCATTATCACCCAATTCTCAAGTCATGGGCTATCACGGTGTAATGATCGTTGCTGTGGAGGATTACAAAGGGGAGTGGGTCGCTTTGTGCAAATTAAGTAATGGAAGAAAAGTAGGTGACGGGGGCTATATTCGGGTTTCCCTTCGGGTTATGTTCATGGTACTTAGTGCTGAAGGTGAGGATGGAGAACACATCAGAGATGATCCAAGTCCTCAACACCTCCTTTCCAACTTTGTGTGCCCTATAATCCGCAAGCGGCGTGTGAAGGTAAAAGCATTGTGTTTGAGTTTACATTAAAAAAAAAAAAGGTTAATTCTAAAAATATAATAATTTACTTGGATGGTGGCTTTTCAGAATCAGAATCGGAGTAAGTGATCGTGCGTTACACGTTATCTCTATTACAAGTAAGATTCTATATCATATTTCTTTGTATGGCCACTTTCTTTCTTGATATTTTTTAAATGAATATTTTTTTCTTTGACAGCAAGCAAGTCTGACGTTTCAGAAACCATGCTATTTCTGTCAATAGGATGTCTCCTCACTCTCTTTTCAATCAAATTCCGGTTTAACATGTGAACCGATGAATTACACTTTGGTTTGGTACAATACTTTAGCATTTGGGCATGTTTGCAGAGAAATAATGAAACAGATGTCAGGTACTTGTAAAAATGATGTCAATACACATATGAAAGTAACTAAAACTATTGGTCAAGAACCAAAAAATCTCCTCGCCTTTTCCCTTGATCTTGTTGTTTCGAAAAACAGGAACAAGAAACAGGTTTTTAGATATATATGTCTCTATCCTTCCTTTGTAAGGGTGTCAAAAAAGAATGAGCAGGAACCCTTAGCAACTCTGTATGTAAACAACTAAAAACAATCTCTTTCGAATCAAATCAGCTGCGATTCTGGATCTCTTCCTTCACAAGTTCGGTCACCAAATCTATGTTGAAGTGAGCTTTTAGTTCCTCCATGTTAGCTTTCTTCAGCAGAACTTTGAGAATAGAGTTTTCTCCAGCAGGCAATTGACCAGTGGCTTTCTGGAGATACTTTGCATCCAATGACGATAGAATTCTTGTGTCGGCTTTCTCTGGGAAGAGGATTTGCAGGGAACTGGCTGAACTTGTGGCCGCAAATAAAGCCTGGAATCCAAATACTCTGTGCAAACTCGATTCACGTCTAATGCTTTGATAGCGTGTTTACCACATTAGAATACATATCTGTCAACTTGATTCAAATCAACAATGCTATCTATGATTACAAGTATCTCAAAACTGGTTTTGGTATTTGTTTGTATATATAATTAGAAAACCAGATATATATTAAAGGTCCAATGAAATTAACAACAAGCATATTAATCTAAGCCGAAGTCAAAACTTTGCAACGAATTACCTGTATGATTGCTGGTGACGTATATTGTATGTCCAAACATTTTAAAACCGTCAGGACTCCCAGAGCGGTGCAGAGGAGGAAGAGACAATTTACCGGGCATTACTTATCTCTTGACAATTTACCGGGCATTACTTATCTCTTGATTTACTCCATCTTTTACCATCTCCCAACACCTTGTAGGCGACAAGTGCGCGAACACCTGTCCTCCACGTAAACCTGAGACGAACACCATACCACACACTTCAGTTTTGGTTGATATCATTCTCACTTCACATTTTTTCAGACATTAGATCTATCTACCGATCAACTCAGCAGAAGCAAGAAAGATATCAATATATACCATGAATAACGGACTATTACGTCCAGCATCAAGAATTTCTGAAATGTAAAAAAAAAGCCCATGTTTGTTGGATCCAACATATTTATGTACCTACGAAAACCTGCACCAGAGAAGGATATACATTAAGCACTTGCATATACTGACATACACCTATGTCTTTTTGTTCTCGAGTTGCAAAATAACATGCCCTGATGCCCACAAGTCACCTTCAGGAAAATTGCTCGACGGTTGCACCATGATTTTCCACAAAGCACAATCCGAAAGTTAAAGGGCTACACAACTTTTGCTATACGGGGACCCTTTTGGCGGATGATCCTATCCGGACGAATTGTTTTGCGGACAAGATGGTGTACTTCCTTATCCCATCAACCACATCCAGAGATTTTGGATTTACAGCTAGTAGGTTTTTCACCACCGTGGTTGCTAGTGTCCACTCTATTACATAGAGATCATGAGCAAGTCCATCAGCTACGACATCAACTTCCGCATGCGATACAGTAACTAGGTCCATCAACTACCTTGGTTCCTCTTTGGTCAGAAGTAGGCAATGATATAGTGTTTCTTCGTATACAAGGCAAAGAAGTTCCTTGCTTTTCGAAATTTGGAGCAGCATCTTTCTCGTTATTTTCAAATGCTTGCCAGAAGAAACTGAACCTCATTTCCTAGGTACATTCTTTGACAGGCTTTTCATACAGTGGCTTGGTGATAAATGCTCCTTGTCTTTCAGAAGTAAATTAAGATGTGATAAATTACTCGTCTTTTCTATCTATTATTCAGATCTTCTCTTGGTGTTTCTTTTAGCTGTAAATCTTTCCCTAAAAATGCATCTGCTTGTGGAATCAGGTCCTTGTGCACTTTCCCTTCTTCATCCATCTCCATCTTTCTTTCTGAGACGTGTGCACTTAATGCCAATAGTAAATCTAGACGCGCTCATCTATATACAGCACTAAGTTTTCCTTCCACAGCTTCAACAAGAACATTCAGTTCATCGATATCATAATATCGAAATAGAAAATATTTAGAAACCATGGACACAAACACAACTGCTTCACATGAGTCAAACATGTATACTTCTGTAGGGAACAACGGCAACCGGTAGCGGATAGGTGCAAGTCAAAGAAGCATATACAACACTCTCTCTCGCTAGTAACAACAAAATTACTATGCATCTTCAATGCAAGTGAAGAGCTGCACAGGAATTCACTTCTTGTAGGTTCTATGTCAATGCGTGCCTAAATAAAACAATTACAAAGTCAATTAATCACCATATTTGACAATAAAGAAAGATTCTCAATACCTCATAAACCTATGAAATTGATTTGTACAGCGCTAGCACGAAGACAAAAGACAAACAACTCTCGAACTAATCATTAAGTTTAAACTAGTAGAAAGTGTGCTAATCTTTTGTTCTTCCCTTATCAGTTGGCTGTAGGTAGTAGATGCGTGTAATATGCAAGATCCCTAACATTAAGATATATTATTATTGTGTCAAATCAGTACAGCCTTATGCTACCGGTTTACAACAGATGGAACCTCGTAAGTTAGCAGTAACTTAGGATTTTCAAGTCTATCAAAACTTGAAGACATAAGAGAAAATACATTTGTACCTTGAGTGTTTTTGCCAAAAATTCCATTCTTTCCGTTGAATTTCTTTCCTATAACAATTTTTTCTTCAGTAAGTTTAGCTCCCAGTTGGCTTTGACTACTTCTCTTGCTGCCCCAAGCAACAATTTAATATCTGCCCATGAGGCAACCAGTCAGCTGGGTAACTAACTGAGGAGAGTTTTGTTGCCTACATGAAAGTGATTTATTTAAAATGGACCATCCATACCAAGACTTAAAATGGACCATAAACCCCGAAATAGAAAGGAGAAACAACAGAGAGGCTAAAACTTCACCTCTAAAACAATCTTTATTATACGCCAATATTCACATTGAACAACCTCAACTGCTGGCTGGCTGGCTCCCAGTAGTCTATGGAGTTACCAACTTTAGACTCATTATCAGAAGAATGAAAGAGAACCCACAAATGAATGAAAGTTGAAATCGTTTTCTCTAGCTATTCGAAGCTCCTCCTTTGTCTTTCCCATTAAACTTCCAGTTAATTAGTAATAGAACCCTTGAAAAAACGAACGTTTCCTAGATTAGACGATGCAAACCCAGAGAGAGAGTTATTGTTCTGATCAAAAGGAAACACGAGCCTCCTTGAGAGAGGATTACAAGGGAATTGCAGTCGATTTACAATATTTGATATTCACTATCTTTTTTAACAATAACTAGATGATAATCCGTGCCATGAGTTTAAAAAAATATATAAATCTGGTTTGAGTACACTTGAATACACTAAAATTTTTCGATATGTAGCTTTGGTTAAGTATATAAATCTTGTTTGAGTATACTCGAATACCCGAAATTTTTCGATTCAGTTTCGGTTTCCAAAATACTAAAATTTTGAATCCATTTGAATATCTAACTAATATTGGTTAAAAATATGTAATACTTTGTGGAGTAGCTTTGGTTCGATTATTTGGATTCAATTTTTTTTACCCAACCCTATATTGTTTATTGTAACAAAACTTTAAAAGAAAAGAATGATGATTCATATTGATTTTGGGTAGGCAACAATTTTTAAACCACAAAAAACTCAATTATTTACATGATCCATTTAGTTAATCATTAAAAATTATGTAAGATCCATTAAAAACGATTGGCTGAACTAAAAACGTTACCATTGATCACAGAATTTTCAATGTGAGATTTTTACCATTTTATTTAATTTATGGTGGTTTAAAAGAAAATCAAAATATAAAAAACATCTAAATTTTTTATTATATGATTAATGTGATTGTTTAATTTCTTTTAATAATTATAAAATTAAATGAAAAGTAAAGAGGATAAAAAAATGTTATCAAATCTTTATTATTCATAATCATTAATTGTGATATATGTTAATCATGTTAGGTAATTTCGTAGCTTTTATTTAAGAAAAGAATAGAGAATATTCTTTTGTACACTACTAATTAAATATAATATTTAGTTTAATAAAAATATAACATATATTTAGTTGGACCAACATATTTTTCTAAGAATTATGAAAATCATTCTCATTGTGACACGTGGCTACCAATCAATGTTGTAATGTTCCAAAATTAATATATAGAGAATAAAGTTGTTGTTTTTCCTATTCTTAGGAGACTTAATACACGTGACAAACCAATTTTTTTTATCTCTCGTCTTTGTACTGGACCAGTCAACAGGGTCTGATGTTTAAATGTTTTAGTGTTTAGGCGCATATTGATTTGGGGTTGCATCATTATTCGGGTCCGGCTTTGAGAGCAGGCGCCGTCTTCAGTCTACAGATGCCGACTACTATCGAGCCTTTGTAATGTTCACAATTATGTGGTGCCTAAATCCGAGCATTTACGACCACTTCTCCCACTCTGGCTTTTAATCGAGCGTATCATCTTCCAGGATAACCGCCGCCGGAAGCTCCACCTATAAATGTATTTCCTCGCACATCATTACATCTACGGAATCTGAAAGCTACCCACCAACTTAACAATGGCCG